GCTGTAGACACCTTAAATATGACTGCAACCCATTGAATTAAAGAATATGTAACTTCTATAAAATAATTCATATCTTGCATTAACATATAACCGTCTGATTAACAAGACATAAGGTAGCTAACAAATGTTAAGACTTCTAGTGAATATGTCAGCCTGTGTTTAAGTAGTGCAGCCGAGCTGAGCTTTAGTCTTAAAATGTTAAGCCCGTGTTTAAATATGTCAGCCTGACCAAGCCTGTTACCTGTTATGAATATAGTTATTGACCTGTGGCCTGACTTATCTTTCAAAAAAAATAAAAGTCTGGTTTAGCTTGTTAGTGCCCGTTTGAATAGCCTTTTATTCCTAAAAAAGTTGTATTTTTTTTTAAAATAAAAGTTCTTTTTAGAATTTTTAGATGTTTGGATAACAACATTTTAAAAAAACAAAAATTAAAATAAAAGTTAAAATGCTACTTTTTTTTTTAGCCAATAGTTGGTTGCTTTTGAAAAAAACAGAAATTAAAAGATAATATAAATTTTTTTTTAGGAAAAAAGATAATATAGATTTTTAAAATACAATTTTAACCTCATCCTATCATACCTATTTTATCTCTGCTTATCCCACGATCATGCTATTTTATCTCTCCTTTATTGTAATTTTATATATAAAAGTGATTTTTTTATTTTAACATCCAAACAACTTTTTTATTTAAAAGTGATTTTCAGATCATACATCCAAACGTAAAAAAAATTTACGTTCTAAAAAAAGCAATGCATAAAAAAGTTATTTTTTTAAAAGCTTATCCAAACGGGCCCTTAGCCTGTTTAAAAAAATAAGACAACAAAAATTTATTCAAACAAAATATACAATTAACGACATTAGTAATTCCATAAATATTCATAAATTCAATGTAGAACAAAATCATTCAAAAAATCTGTTTAACCAATAATATATGATGAAATGGATTGAGGAGAGAAAAGGGTCATTACAAGTAGTATAAAAAATATAAAATAAAAATAATAATTAATATACTAGGCCATACTAAGAGGCTCTAAGACCGAGTTTTTGAATTGGAGTTTGAGCCTTTTTTATTAAACGGGCTTTTATATAAGTCCAAACATGTTTCTAACAACCAATTTTAAACATGTAAGCTTAGACTTTCACGAGCAGAGCCAAAGGCCCTAGTTAGTTTATTATCCCCACTGACGAGGGAACTATGCTTCACACATATTTATCAATTCGAGAAGAAAAATATACTTCAACTGGAAATTGGTGCACAAGTTGAGCACCCAAATTATATATTGTCAACCATTGTTCACCTTGATCGCCCTTTATTCCAAGGAGTTGATTTCCATTCTTCCAAACACCAAGGATTAAAATCTCCGTTGGCCAAACAATGTTGTGTGTTTTAGTCCATGTGTGTTCATTCATAACCCAAATCTCCAACCGTGCTTGCCTACGATATTGTACAATATAACCAAGGGAACCATTAACCTCAACAATGTTATCGTTGATCAACCAAGGTGCTCTCTATTTGAGATTTCCACTGGAGCCATGAGTTTGCTAAATTGATTGTTGCGGAAGTCAAAGCAAATGATGTAATCAAAACCACCCTCATGGCCAATCAACCAATGATAAACACCATTAACAAGAACATTGAGACGATTCCGAATCCTTTCAGAGCATTATTGGTAGGGGAGAGTAACATCATGGATAACGGTCCATGAATTTGTACTAAGATTATAAACCTCCGCATGTGAAATAATAAAACCAGGATGAAGCAAACTTATGATGAGTTTGATAACTTTGAAGTCATTTGTGTTGGGATCAAAACCGAAGCCATAAAATTGATGATAGGTATCAAATGTGTGAGAAGGAAAGGGAAGGAGTTTCACCTCTCTTGTATTAGGATTCTACAAAATTAACTGATAAACGCCTTTGCAGTATACGCCAAGACAAAAAACACCGTTGCAAGAACCGTATGACCTTTCAAATTCAATGGCCGAGAGGTTTCCGAATCCATACCCTTGTTGAATTGTGTGGATTAATTAGGTTAAGAAAATTAACTTGATTAAATTGTGGTAGAGAGATCATTCACACCACATAGCCATTGAACTTGAACTTTAACAATTCAATAATTAGTTTGGCCATAGAGATGTGGGAATTAGTTATTGGGTATATATGTTAGGTTGGCCAAAAGCCCCAACATATCTTAGTGTTCTGTTACTAATTAAGAATTGATATAGCATCGTTATACAATCGTTTCAGTATTGCTGTATCAGGGAAATTGAATCTGACCTATATCTCATCCATCATTTTAATACCTTAGAATTAGTTTACTGTTTTCTTAGTTTAATTATCTTTTATTTACAAACCCAATCATAAAAATTAATCATTTTCTAGTTTCTTTACTTAAATAATCATTGCTTTATAAATCATCTCTGTGGGAACGATACTTGGACTCGCACATCCCTTTATTACTTGTGATACGGCTGGAAAATCCTATTCATGTAATCCATGAACACTGCCGGCGCATTGGTGAGTCTAAACGGGATCACCAAATACTCAAAGTGACTGTATCTCGAACGAAACGCGGTCTTAGGGACATTCTCCGGCTTCACCCGAATCTGATGGTATCCGGACCGGAGATCAATCTTTGAATACACGCAAGCACCCCTGAGCTGATCCAACAGATCATCAATCCGAGGAAGGGGATACTTGTTCTTGATCGTCACCTTATTCAACTGCCTGTAGTCTGTGCACAATCGCATTGTCCGGTCTTTCTTCTTCACAAAGATGACCGGTGCTCCCCAAGGAGACACACTCGGTCGAATGAAATCTTTCGCTGAAAGATCTTCAATATGCTTCTTCAGCTCCGCCAACTCCGGTGGCGACATCCGGTATGGAGCTAATGAAATAGGCCTCACACCAGGCAACAAGTCAATGGAGAACTCTATCTCCCGCTGTGGCAGAAATTCAGGAATCTCCTCAGGAAACACCTCGAGGAACTCTCCCACCACAGGAATGCCAGTGATATCCTCATGTGTCCCACTCACCAAACCTCCCAACATGACATACCCGAATGCCCCTGCTCTCAAGGCCTTCCTAGCCTGTAGCAATGAAATATTTGGCGAGGAACTAGCTGTGGAATCACACGGAGACATCACCACGCGCTTTGCACTGCAATCAATCAGTGCACAGTTTCTAGACAACCAATCCATGACCAGAATAATCTCCAAGTTGGCCATCGGCAATCCTATCAGATCCACCGAGAACTCACGGCCGTCCCACTCAGAGGCTTCTGGGTTTAACCGCTCTTATAATACCATTCTTGCAAATTAAAATTGTGTTTGTGAGAAATAAAATATGTCAAATGAGATGTCATTGCGTAGATCTCAAAAAGTTATGTGGAATCAAAAAAAGAATTATTTAATTTGGATACCCGAGTCAAAAATTATGGCCTTCAGAAGTTTTATGATTAAATTAATTTATTTTTTTTGGAAAAAAAAATGACACGTGTCAACACCTGATGAGTGACGCCTCATTGAGGCGTCTTCCCTTAGGATGAGACGCCTCAATGGGACGTCACATTGTGCAATAGATCCGTAATTATTTCTAAAATTGTAATAAATGTGTAATTATTTTATTAAAAAAGCATTAAATTAATTTTTTTGCCCGTCGAAGTGATATCCCAAAAAATGATTTTTGTAATTTAGTTTGTATTTTTGTAATTGTTTTTATATTTGAGGAACAAAGAAACTAATTTTAAAAATTGTCAACAATTCGCATAATTAACACAAGATAACCATTTTTGAATGGATGTATCGTGAGAGCAATTAAATTAAATTTCTATCATTCTTTGTGCATAATTAAACTCCTTAACTTGAGCTAAAATTTTAAAGATCATTTTGCTAAATAAAAAAGAGATTATTTCCATTTTTTTTCAAATTAATAAAATTGCCGGTGAGTCCATATTTTTCATTTTGAATAAAGTTTGGCTCGTTATAAACATTATTTTGAAAATTGGTATTAAAATAATTGAGACAAAAAAATAAATATTGCAATATATCATATTAATTCTCCGTGATTTTTTGAACTCTCTACCATATAATGATAATTTAATATTGAACTTTCTTTTTCTTTTCTGTATATGTCAAAAATTGATATATTTGATAATTCAAGCGACCAGATTTTTTGACAATTGAAACATAAACGTTTACTGATCTCTCACAATAACAAGGTATATTAATTAATTGCCAAAAAAAATAAAAATAAAAACAGAATCAGACACAAAAACAACCTCACCAATATATTTAAACTTTATTATTCAAGTAATTAATGACGGTGTAAGTAGGTAAGGTATCACTTATGCAACTTAAATAATATTAAATATTTGAATTCTTGAGAAGGAAAAAGAAAGAAAAAAAAAATCATTGTCAACAAGTTGTTATTAAAAATAAATTTGGAAGCCCTAGGATTGGTCTAATGGTGAGAGATTTGGCTATGTTGTATTATGTTGTGTTCAATTCCCACCAATGTTTCCAAAAAAAAAAATTAATTTGATGTTTTTGCATTTGTAAATTTTCTCAAAGATCACGTCAAATAAATGAAAATTATTTATCTTAATTAATTTAATATTAATTTTAAAATACTAATAATTTCATTATTTGTAATCAAAATCATTATATACTAATTGGGAAATAAAATACGTAAGATATCAACCGCATTGTATTTTTTCCCAAGTTCTGTTGCATTATCACAATCCTGAATATAAAAAATGGCTTATTACCTAGCTAACGCTCGAGCTCACATAATAATAAGCACAAACCAACCCAAACACAAATATCAGATAAAATAACTGAAAGATGGTAATGAAAAAGAGAAAAACAAAAACAAAAATGACAAGCATAATATAAACTCAATTTATTTTCACAAAATCACCCGAAATAAATACAAACAGCTAATAGTCTGGTATTTAAATGATAATAATTTTGATGACATGTATATATATCCTAGCTAAGTTAAGCTGACAAGGGAACTATGCTTTCCACGTACTTTTCAATTGGAGAATCCAAATATACTCCAACTGGAAATTGGTGCACAGGCTGAGCACCCAAATTATATATTGTCAACCATTGTTTACCTAGATAGCCCTTTCTTCCAAGGAGTTGATTTCCATCCTTCCAAATGCCAAGGATTAAAATCTCCTTTGGCCAAACAGTGTTGTGTGTTTTAGTCCATTTGTGTTCATTCATAATCCAAATCTCCAACCGATTTTGTCCATGACACTGTACAATATAACCAAGGGAACCATTAACCTCAAAAATGTTATCCTCAACAGTGTTATCCTGGACCAACAAAGTTTCTATATTTGAGATATCCACTGGAGCCATGAGTTTGCTGAATTGATTGTTGCGGAAGTCAAAGCATAGGATGGAACCAAAACCATCTTCATAGCCAATCAACCAATAATAAACCCCATTAACAAGAACATTGGAACCATTAGCGAGTTGAAATAGAGCATTATTGGTAGTGGGGAGAGTAACATCATGGATAACTGTCCATGAATTTGTACTAAGATTATAAACCTCTGCATGTGAAATAAAAAGATGACGCCAATCAAGAATATTGATGATTGGTTTGATAATTTTGAAGTCATTGGTGTTTGGATCAACACCGAAGCCTTGAAATGCATAGGAAAATTTGTTAGAAGGGAAGGGAATAAGCTTGGACTCTCTTGTGTTAGGATTCCACAAAATTAACCGATTACAATAACTTTCTTTGTAGTTCACGCCAAGACAAAAAACACCGTTGCAAGAACCATATGACCTAAGAAAATAGAAGGTTTTGTTGGGGGAAGAGCAATTGAAATACTGAGGTGGTTTTGATGGGTCATCGCATGTCAGTGATGCGTGGATGTTCCTTTTAAATTGAAACACCATGAGATGCTCTTTTGACATGTGCATGTTCATGTGACTCATCACGAACCTGTGGTTTCTAAAGAGTGCATTCCATGATCGTTGAACGCACTTAAATCGCATCAATGACTTTGCTGGTAGCCTCACCAATATCTCTGACTCCAAATCTTCACCTAAATCTCTCGCCATTCTCTTGCAATTGCTATTTGGTAGTGTGAAAAGTGAAAAATATGAAACAATTAGATATGTGAGTATAAAGGAGGCAACCGAGTCACACACAATTGGTATTAGCCATTAGGTTACATGGGTAATCCTATTTAATGTATTTTGAAAACTAAAATAAAAAATAAATCTGATGTGTTAATTCTTAAAAATAAAAAAATTAATCCAATTTGCTAATCTTTCCTTATCTGCAACGGATTCTTTTTAAATTTTATTTTTCAGTTGTTGATTAATTTTATCTTAATATTGGATTGATTGTGTCAAGTTAGTGGGTTTCCATTATAATCCAACTTAATTTCCAAATATGGTACGTTAAAGAGATTGATTACTTGTTTTCAAGAGAGAGAGAGAGATATTGATTACAGGATGAAATCTATTTCGCTTGCATCCGCAGCAGATTCAGAATTTTTTTTCCAGAGAAATTAGATGAATTTCAAAACTTGATAATTGAAATAAAAAATTATATAATGGAATAAAATAATCACAATATATAAATTGCGTTACATAAATCACAATACAATATGACATGATATAAATAAAAATACTCAAATCAATTGGATAGATTACAAAATAAAATAAATTTATTTATTATATATTAGTATAATTATTTAGATAGACATCAAATATATTTGAGATTGACTACATAATAATTTAAATTTTATCATATTTAAATTTACTTTGTATCCAATTTTAAAAACTTAATTCTATTCTTCTTATTTTATTTATTTATTATATATGTATATTTAGATAGGATTCAAAACTATTTGAGATTTGCTAGAAAACAAAATCAATTTTATCATATTTAAATCTATTTTTTATTTAATTTTCAAATCCTAATCTAAATATTCTTATCTTATTTATTTAATTGTTATATATTGATATTTAGATTGATATCAAATAAATTTGAAATTAAATAGAAAATAATATCAACTTTATTATATTTAAATCCACTACAAGTTTATTTCTTCTGTATCTTTACAACATAATTCAAATTTTTATATTTTTTTATTAATTCAAACAACATTATCTTTTAATAAAAATTGGGAAAAACATAGCAAACAACTCTTATAACAATATAATGGGTGATATTAAGAATGAATGCTCAAGTATTATAAAGGTAAGACTAATATTTGGTTTTAAAAAGTGAAAGGGGAAGCCATCGCCCCCAAGGTGAAATAATATGTTACTGTCCACTAAAATTAAGGGCTTTTTACCATTTTATTACATATAATCTATGAAGCACCGATACTTCAAAAACCCTAACGTGTCGTGTCCGACACTTCTCGACACTCTCGGACACTCCGACACTCCAACACGCGTTATAAAAATTCAAAAAAAAGGTTTAAAGGTTGTGTTGCGTTGAGTTTTTAGTTCCAACTATTAGATTCATTGGATTATGATTACTATTTTATTGAGTTTAATATAAATATTTGAGATATCTTATGTTTCTTTGCAAAATTTATGAATATTATAATTTTAGATTCATTTTTTTTAAATTATTGAATATTAAATATAATATATACTACATAAATTAAAAATATTATTTAATATCAAAACGTGTCCTAACGTGTTAAAATCTAACATTTTTTAGAATTAACATGTCGGAGTGTCGTGTCATATCGTGTTACGTGTCCCGTGTCGGTATCGTATAGCATGTAACTAGGTGAGAATTATTTCTCTAATTATAGCCGTGGACATTGTTGTGAGCGTACCAGGATCATATGTCCCAAATTTGATTCACTCTCTCTCACTGCTATTATTGTGGCAAAACTTTTATAATATTCAAATTTTTTATCTGAGTACTTCCCTACAAAAGCCAAGGAAGAAGACAATTGATTTATGACAAATGTTATCTATATACGGAGGAAAAAATAAGTTTCTAGAAATTGTCATACTTAATATTAACATGTATTTAGGTTTGAGATTGAAAAAAATGAAAAATGAGTGTGAAAAGGAATCAAGGGCACAGTGGCTCAATATTTCAGCAGAGTCACGTCACATAATATGTATGAATACAAGATGCTTCTTCAATAGGTGAATAGGGATAAATGGGTGAAAAATATTTCCTAATGATAAGAGATAGAAGAGTCATAATTGTTTTGTCTACTATCTCATTGTTGTGAATAAGGAATTGCTCCACCAACATATACCATGGGTGAGTTGTGTAAAGAAGAGAAAGATCCTCCGTAATGAGGTTATGTCCTCACTATGGGGAAAGTCTTTTAATGCTAGCCTATAAGGTCGGGCCATAATACATGTGAAGCTAATAATTTTTTGTACAAATAGAAAACTAACTACTTAAGTATTGTTGTGAAATATGGATGACTTAAACCATGTCACCGCTACGTTACCGGTGGCAGTAACGGTACAATTATGGATGACGTTACCATTGATAGTAACAGTGTAACTATCTCTCATTCATAATTATGTAACTACCACACTAATGGATTATTACTCTCTTATTCATGGTTGTAATCTTATATATTGACATTGTTTGTATTAGAGTATATAGCTGAATGAGAATTATATTTCTGTCCTACTTCTTTTTGTCTTCTCTCTTCCATTTCTCCCTTTATTTTATAATTAACACGTTATTAGCACGATAGTCTCTTCCATACCAAAGAGATATTTTATTTTATTTTCTTAGCCATCAAAGATTCCATTTTTTTTAAGTGAAAGCCAGAGATCACATATCACCAAAATTAAAAAAAAAAAAATATATCATCAAAAAAGATGAGAGAGAATGTTTTTCATCAACCTCCGAAGACAACTACCTATCGTCTTTTTTGGATCTCGCGAGGGCCGAACCATTGAATTGTGGTCACTGAATAGTGGTCGTCCTCCTCCTCCTCCAAAACCCAAACCTGCACCTGGTTGCCGAGTCTCGATTATGGGTCGAATTCCAAGCTCCATTCCCGAATCAGGTCCATGATCTCTTATCAATTTTATTTCTCTTATCAATTTCATTTATTTGATTATTTTGAGGTTTAATACGGTTTGCATTATTCATGGGTATGTGTTTGTTTTGCTGCATCTTTGAAAAATCAATTTACCCTCTGATGCGAAAGAACTGAAGATAAGTACCTTTGTTCTTGTTGTGATTATTTGCATCTCTGTTCGAAAAATACTGTTATGATTGTACTTCTATTTGAATGCTAATTTTTTTATTGTCATGCATATATTTGTACTCTCCTAATTTGTTAAGTACAATTTATTTATTTATTTTTGTTTTGTTTTCTATACCCTGTATCCAAAGCGATATGGAAAGTAAGAATTATGAAACATACGTGAGCATTTTTTTTTCCTTTTACTGGGTTTGTCATATAATTGAGCATTTTTTCCTTATGTTGGGTTGGTCATAAGGCTTTGTTTGGCAGGTTGGAGGGGAGGGGATCCAAGGGGGAGGGAGGAGAAGGAAATTGAAGAGTATTCTCTTTCCTTGTTTGGGAGTTAAAAAAATGGTAAGCGGAAAATTGGAGGGTCAATAAGAAATTTTTACAATTTTACCCTTTTTCTAAAATAAATATAATTATTATATTTCACAAATAAAATAAAATTTAAAATTGCTAAAAAAAATTATTTATGTATTGTTCAGACTACTAAAAAAGATCATATTTTCAACAAAAATCCTACGTTGAAAACAACAAAAATTTTGTCAAAAAAATATTTTTTCGTCGGAATACTGTTCACGAAGACGATAGAATTTTTATCCGATGAAATATTTTACAAAAATAAAATTTCAGTCAAAATTTTCCACGGAATTTAGTTTTCGTCAAAAGTTTTGACAAAAAAATGATTTGTTAAATATTTTTGACAAAAAAAATTCCATCAAAAGTTTTGATGGAAAAAGAATTCCTTCAGAAATTTTGACGAAAAATTTTCCGTCCAAAACCTTCGATGAAAATGTGTCAATGAAAATTCCAACGGAAATATTTTTTCAAAAATTTTGAGGGAAATGTTTCTGTGAAACTTTAGACAGAATTTAGATTCTGTAAAGAATTTTGACAGAATATTTTTTTTTCAAATTTTTTTACAAAAATGTTTTTCGCTAAATATTTTTACGGAAATAATTTACGTTGAAATTTTTTGACGAAAATGTGTTCCATTGAAAATTTCGATAGAAATGTTTTTTATCAAAAAAAAAGATTTCAAAAATTTTAGATAGAAATGTGTTTCGTCAAGAATTTTGACGAAATTTATTTTCGTGAAAAATTCTGACAAAAATATTTTCGTCAAAAACTTTTGACGGAATTTGGATTCTGTTAAGAAATTTGACGAATTTTTTTTCGTCAAAAATTTTTACAGAAATATTTTGCGTCAAAACTTTTTATGAAAAATTTTCAATGGAAATGTGTTTCGTTAAAAATTTTGACAGAATATTTTTTCTGTCAAACATTTTTGACAGAAATGTGTTCCGTTAAAAATTTTGATGGAAATATTTTTTATCGAAAAACTTGACGGAAATATTTTTCGTCGAAAATTTTCAAAGCAAATGTGTTTCGGTAAAAATTTTGACAGGAATATTTTTGTCAAAAAGTTTAACAAAAATATTTTCGTCAAAAATTTTCGACGGAATGAAAATTCTGTAAAGAATTTTGATGAAATTTTTTCTGTCAAAAAATTTCGATGGAAATGTGTTTCATTGAAAATTTTGATAGAAATATTTTTCATGAAAAATTCCGATGAATATGTGTTTTTGTGAAAAATGTTGAGGGAAATGTTTTGACGAAATTTAGATTCCATAAAGAATTCTGACAAAAAAAAATTATCGTCAAATTTTTTTACAGAAATGTTTTTAGCCACAAATTTTGATGGAAATGTTTATCGTAAAATATTTTGACGTAATTGTTTTACGTCAAAACATTTCGATGGAAATGTGTTTCTCCGAAATTTTGGACGAAAATATTTTCGTGGAAAGATTTGACGGAATTTAGATTCTATCTATAATTTTGGTTGAATTTTTTTCC